TAAATCACTCGAGTTTATGATCAAGATATTGGAAAGTAAGTTGTCTTCAGCCCAGAAAGATGTGATTTCGATTCAAAATGACTCATCGAAAAAAGAAACTGAGATCACGTCTCTCAAATCCAAAATAGCTGAATTAGAACAAGAATTAGCTTCAGCGATTAGTGAACTCGAGTGTTTGAAATCAGAGGCTATATCAAACCCCATACTTGGTGAAAACGATGAAAAAAATATGACCAAGTCTAATGATATATCTGCAGTTATTGAACCTAGTAAAAGTCTCAGACAATATTTTATATGTGGAAAAAGTATGGATCAAGCTAAAAAAATTGATACTATGTGTCTTGAGTCAGAAACTCATGGCTTTACCACTGACACTAGCTCCATTATTATACCGAATAACACTGATAATGAAAAAACTCCTATACCTGAGGAATCGGTAATTCGAGGTTATACTTCATCTTCAAGAGTAGATACTGAGATTATTTCCAAGGTAAGTGACGAAATCGATATTAGTAAAACTAACAACAATATACTCCAAGAAATACCGAATATAACTCCATACCTTGCACAGCGGGAAAATAATAGCAGAGCTAGTGCTAAAGCACATATGTCCTCGTTGATTGAATCGAATCCCCAGATTCCAATAGGAGGAATAGGAGTGGTCCCTGTTGTAGCAAGTACTTTAATGTCACCTCTATCAGCATATATTTTTTTTACCTTGTTGATTATTGCAGTTATGTGGTTCGTAATATTGAGACGCACATGGGGATTTGAGAGAAAAGGTGATTGGTTACGGGATATGTAGATCGGATAACTGAGACCATCTATTTGAACTTCATCATCTGATTCTAGATATTTTATATAAGATAATTATTAGTTTTTTTCGAACTTGAGAGAAAAAAGAAAAAAGAGCGCGGTATGGACGAGGTCGCTTTCCTGGAATATAAGCGAAATTTTGAGGCTAAAATGAAAGTTCCTACTACTCCTCACAAAAAAGAGTTGAAAAATAAATCTTTAGCAATCATTGAATATGTATAATTGCTATTTTAAAATAAAGTGATACTCTGGCTAGGAGTATATCTAGCCATATATTTTGGATAAGGGGATTTTTGTCACCTCTTACAATTAATATAAGAAAAAATTCAAATAAAAAATTAATATTCCGATACTTGGATCATATAAGAGGTTTTTGTGTCGTGTGATTTAGGATAACAACCTGTGCTAGGCATTTTATACAAAGGGGTTTTTGTGTTACATAATTTTAATCGAGATGCAATCGGGACAGCAAAGCACATAGATATAACAAGACAGTAAAATATATACGTATAATGGGTTAGCAATTCGCACAGATATGACTAAATTTTTGAAACAGTGACCCGCGGTATAATGGAACAGCAATCTGCACAAGTACGGCTAAATTTTTGGGATGGCAAGATTACATTTTGGTTATATGATTTGGGACAACAAGGTTGCATTTCAATTATATATTTTTTGGGTTAGCTGGG